AAATGTCACTTTTATTTTTGGTAATTGTAACATGTTATTCATAAGCATATATAAATCGGTGTGAAGAAATAAATTAGCCATCTTAAAGTGCATTTCGTTGGGTGAAAAGGTGAGATTTTGGGCTTTTCATTACCTTTATTTGAAACTTGCTGCAACAATATACCTATATATGAAACTTTATGACATAAGATACCTTGATCTGAAACTTGCTGCAACAGGACACCTTTACATGAAAATTGCTGCAACAAAACACCTGCAACAGGACACCTTTGCAAGAAACATACTGCAACAAAACACCTTCAACTGCAACAAGACACTTTTACATGATATTTGCTGCAACAGGACACATTCAAATGCAAAAAGACACCTGTACATGAAACTTGCTGCAGCAAAACACTTTTACATGGTACTTTCTGCAACAGGACACCTTCAACTGCAACAAGACACCTTTACTTCATATGAAAGTTGCTGCAACAAGACATCTTTACATGAACCTTGCTGCAACAAGACACCTTTACTTCATATGAAAGTTACTGCAACAAGACACCTTTACATGAATCTTGCTGCAACAAGACATCTTTACATGAAACTTACTGCAACAAGTTACCTTTCTATGAAACTTGCTACAAGACACCTTCAACTGCAACAAGACACATATACCTGAAACTTGCAGCAACAAGACACCTCTATTTGAAACTTTCTGCAACAAGACACCTTAATATATATGATACTTGGTGCAACAAGACACCTTAGAAACTTTATGCAACAATAACATTCTTATATATACAAAAAAATATTAAGTTACACACCCTATTAAACAGTATATCATATAAAACTTATCTACCATTATCACAATACAAGTGCATTACAATAACACTCATCTAGCAAACTAAAAACAAAATATTTCATTAAAACAAAGTCATTCAAACAATTAGTATTCATACCTTTTTTTAAATTCTTTTTTTTTTTAGGACTATCAATGATTGACAATGTTTTGGGAATAAACAAGTGCTCACATGATTAATGTCAACACTCCACATTTCACCTGTGATATATGATAGATATATCACTCAGCATCCATATATTTTTTTTTACTCCCTAACAGAGATAATCTATAATAATCAATATTGACTTAACACAAGAGTACCATGATAGCCATAGATCGCTCAACTTGAAATTCATTGCTAAAAAAAAACAAACCCAAACCTAAAAACATTCTCAATCAATGATAGTCATTTGTTTTTTTTTATTTTACATCCTTTGTATTGGGTTCAGCATAAATTGACAATTCTTATTCAATGTCTCATTAAATAATTGAATTACTTGAATTATTGATTACTTGGCTGCTGTCAATTTATTATATAGTTCTTATTTTCCCTCAAATTAAGTAACTCAGGGCTGCGTTTTATAGAAAGTCCTAAGTGTGTCCTAAGTGTGGCGGCGTGGCCGGGTGGTTAAAGCGTCAGACTAGTAATCTAAGGATTGCTGACCGCGTGGGTTCAAACCCTGTCGGGGGCAAGCCGTTGTTTCTTTGAGCAAGAAACTTTACATTCTCTGCTTAGCACTGGTTGGTTCCAGGAACGGATTCGAAAGTGTTTCAATAAGCTTATAGCTTCCAACACAATCGAACTAAAATAAATTTGTATAAACTAATTGTGTCCTAAGTGCAAATCCTAGGACTTATGACAAACTTTAGGACTAAGTTAGGACCGTTTCAATTCATGTTTTCATCTTTAGTAAAAGTTCTAGACTTTTATTTAATTCATTCTCCTGAGAAAAGTTACAAAATACAATGGCATACGCTTCAATCCACTTTGTGTAAATGTTCATATGCAGCTCTATTCAGGAGTTGTCTGAACATAAGAGTCATAAGTTAGAACATTTTCATTGAAATGAAAATGGCTACAGTTTTGGTCTTAAGACATATTTTAGACCTAGGAATTTCAATAAAATACAACCCTGTATTATGAATTTGTTATAAAAATGTCTGCATATTAAATATGCACAGGTGTTCAGCAGGTTGGTCACTTTGGCAAAAAAGATAAAAAGAATCAATCATATATATTTGTTATATAGATTCTATGTATCATTTTTTTAATTTTTATTTTTTTGCGAGTTGACCAATCAAATCGCTGAGCACATGTGGTTATATGGCCGTATATAAATGGTTGTTTGCAATATAACATTTGTTTGACAGCATAGGTTATATAACCTTACAACGGTTTATACTAACACATATAACCTGTACACATCTTTATAACTTATACTATATATATAAGATAGAATCAAATCTAATATTTATACTCATATTTGATAATATACTCTGGATAAACCTGACCACTGTTATCAAAAATCACAAAAATTTTTGGATTGTCTTTATCATCAACACACGAGTCATACAGGTCGCTGCATGGGTTTGATTTATCTTTACTTGGAGGTCGGACATATTCACTCTTGCCCTTAACATACTCCCCGACAAGCACTTTTACAACAAACATCACTTTGTTGTCTACATCTGTGTAACAATCTGAATATTTTGAAGTCGTCGCAAAATAGCTTCCTTTCCCGTACCGAGTTCCTAGAAACATAACAAAACTTTACCATATAAATAAATCAAAACATGTAAATTACTACACAGTCATGTATTATAATATACATGTAGTTGATATTCAATAATTAAATGCCACTCAATTCAAACTTTATATTTCTTATTAATAATCAAAGGGCTGCAACCTCTGTGGTATTTTCTGATCTTTGCAATCTAAATCATACTGACTATCTGTATGTATTTTCCTATATAAGTTTATTATATTTTAAGTAATTATTTTTATATACTATAATTAATCTTACGCAGCGACTGCGTCTATATCAGTTTGAGATTGATACATATGGAATTTTGCATGACTAGAGTTGCATCAAAAAATCATTTTCATTTTTTATAACAGCCATACTTTATCCTTGCATATCGTGGCTACTTTCTTAAAAAAGACACTTCAAAAAAAAAAGTTGCCTCGACTAGGATTTGAACCTTGGGCCTCTCACACACTAAACGAGCGCGCTACCTCTGCACCACGGTGAAGTAATACATATGTACCTTGAATAATAACAAATACATTGTAATTCTAAATTGAGAATTTCCATTCCGTGTTTGTAATCCTTACTAATTTCGAGGTATTTTCTTCACTATAAACCTGTTGTTTAACACTGATGAAAATAATTTAGCGAAAATCTTCTCGCCAAAACAGTACGGCATGTATATATTCCACTACTCGACAGTCAGATTTATTTGTGTACTATGCTCTGGAGTATTCGGTAATCGACATAGCTAAAAATAGCATTTTCATTGATTAAGCTTTACGAAAATAGCCGAACATTATTCATTGGGTAAAAAAGATATTCATCCGCGAAATTTGTGATCGTAACCTCATATTTCTATTGACTACTCTAAACTTTTAATGCACTGTAATTCGTTAAATGCATACATTAAAAATTATTCTTTATTTTAAATTGCTGGTTTTTAAGCAGTTCTGAGTGAGATCTACTTTGCGTTGTTAGGTCTGTTAGGAAAATTTGTGTTAGACCGTGGATGTTAGCTATGTATTTACTGATCTTGCGATCAGAAAATACAAAAACCATTACCAGTTTTGTCATGCGTTTGCCTTTATGACAAACAAACTTGTGTTTTTCTAGATAATTTAATATAATTTCACTTTGAAAGTGTTAAAAAACAAGAGGACCATGATGGCCCTAATATCGCTCACCTGAATATACAAATATTCTCCATGACAAGGAACAAGTAATATTGTAAAGTATAAATGAAAGCAGAAATAAAATCTAAATCTTAAACTGATATCACAAAGTTCATTTTTGTATCTGAAATAGTGCACATGTAAAAACTTTACTGGTTGCTGTTGCTGAGGGAAAACAACAGTTCCATAAGAAGTCACTGTTTGCTATACAAAATAAATGTTTCCTTGGAAGTCAGTGCCTGCTATGAAATTCAATGGTAGATTCAATCTGGTTGCTATGGAAAGTTAAAGTTTGCTGGTTGCTATGAAAATTTACAGTTTGCTATGAAAAGTCAATGGCTGCTATGAAGTCCCGGTTGCTATGGAAACTAAGCTTTAGTTCTTGCAGATTTAGAGAAGAACTTTTTTTAAAAGTTTTAACTACATACATAATATAAGGAAAATCAATTACCCCTGGGAAGGGGGCCAAATTGAACAAACTTGGTAGATACCCACTACAAGATGTTTCATGCTAAATACCTAAGCTCTAGCTCTTTAGATTTTTTAAAAAGTAGATTTTTTAAGTTATTTTCTGTTGCCATGGCAACTACAGTTCTGCATGGAATTCAATTCTTTGCACAATTTTCAAAGGTGACCACCCAAGGAACATTCCTGTATAGTTTGAATGAACTTGGCTCAGCAGTTTATGAAGAGATGTCGTTTAAAGTAAAAGTTTACCAATGTACAGATGACAGACAAATTGCGATCACAAAAAATTCATAGGTCAGCCAAAGAATTATTTCTGTAAAGTTTATATTAAGATGATGTTTTGTTAAGAAATATAGGACATATTAACTTGGCTTGTAGAAGAACTACAATCAAACAATACCTGACTTCTGTCCACTGAGTCTAAAATCAAACCCTTGTTTGCAAATGGCATCAACAAATCCTGTGGTAGTTCCATGGAATAATCGTCTCTCCCCAACATCTTTGTTTGTGCTTTTCTTGATCATCCTAGTCTTTTTACTGTAATGATAAGGACAAATATCAATGTTTAACCCTGCTGAATTCCACATTACATTTATACATCAAGATAAAAATTTGAAGTTGGTCAACCAAAAGTATAAAGCTTTGATAACATTTGACAGTGGCTTGAATTTATTCGACATGTTATTCAGTACAGAAGTGAAGGTATTTATAATAATAATAGTAATAATAATAAAGACTTTATTTAAAGAGGCAACATAGTTAGGCAAGCCCAGTCTTCCCTATGAGCCTTTATCAAAATGTACATATATACAGTTACAAACAGAAGAGTATGTATTTAACAAAGAGAAGACAAATTTCATGTATAATCTTATTGCTTATTTGTCTGTTATGCCTATAACACATTTAGTATGTAAATCTGGTCATATATCATTGGTCGGTCCACCTGACCAAATTCCTGGATACCAGTTCTCAATTTCTCCACAAGTAATCTACAATTTATTCCACATTATTCCACTATCAGTGGTGAGAGACATATCACCATTAGACTCAATGTACAGGATCTATTGTCACAAGAAACTTTCCCTCACCCAAGGATCGAACCAACTACCCCTGCTTTACAAATTTTTACAAATCCTATACTTGTGGTAAAGGTTAGGTCAAACTCTTCATATATTTTTGTAAAGTTTGATTTTTGAACATTGTCATATCAATTAGAGGAATGACTTTTTGTATATGTTAATTCATCTTCACTAACTTTAAGTTAGAGTTAGTAAATTATTGTGAAACTATTAGGGCTCAGTAATTTTTACTAATGAAAATTAAGATATTCTAGAAGTGTATAAAGTAATACTGTTGCTGTCTGTGGATTGTAAAATTATATTGTGATTGAAATTATTACAGAATGCCAAAGAATGAAAGAAAAATGTCAGTATATTTTTTTTGTAAGCAAGTGTGACATGCATCAAATCAGTGGAGTTTCTTTAACATTAGCATTATCAAACTTACCTGACAAAATTACACCACAGATCTCCGTTTTCTATCCTCTCAATAGATTTGATGGAGACAGTACTGGGCATACTCTCACAAAACAAATCTTCAATCTCCTTATATTCTTTCTTCATAGCTGGATACTTTGCTCTAATCTAAACACAAAAAACTCAAAGTGCTATTATAATGTTAAAACATTGAGAATGAGTATAAACTAGATCTCTGATAGCCCCACATTCCAATGTTTTGTCATAATATCTATGCAGTTACTGCAAACTACAGTTAACACAGGGATAGCATGAAGGATGGACATGGGCAAAAACCTGTAAAAGTAGTAGTTCATGAAATGTTTCTTAATGGGTTCCATTTTAAGTTTGCTTAAATGAATACAACATTTCATTCTAAAAAGTGATAAATCACCCAGATACAATCACAGTAAACTGCCATTGCACCCAGATACAATCATTGTAAGCACACATATACAATCATTGCAGAACCCAGATACAATAATTGCAGGACCCAGATAGAATCATTACAAGCACCCAGATACAATCATTGCACGACCCAGATTCAATCATTTCAGAACCCAGATACAATCATTGTAAGCACACAGATACAATCATTACAAGCACAAAGATAAAATCATTACAAGCACACAGATACAATCATTAAAAGCACAAAGATACAATCATTACAAGCACACATATACAATCATTTCAAGCACCTAGATACAATCATTGCAAATACCCAGATACAATCATTGCAAACGCCCAGATACAATCATTGCAGAAACCAGATACAATCATTGCAAGCGCCAAGATTCGATCATTACAAGCACACAGATACAATCATTACAAGCACACAGAAACAATCATTTAAAGCACCAAGATACAATCATTTCAAGCACCTAGATACAATTATTAAAAGCACCCAGATACAATCATTACAAGCACTTAGATACAATCATTAAAAGCACACAGATACAATCATTACAAGCACACAGATACAATCATTTAAAGCACCAAGATACAATCATTTCAAGCACCTAGATACAATCATTGAAAACACCCAGATACAATCATTGCAAGCGCCCAGATACAATCATTGCAAGCGCTCAGAAACCATCATTGTAAGCACCCAGATACAATCATTACAAGCACACATATACAATCAGTTCAAGCACCCAGATACAATCATTGCAAGTGCCCAGATACAATCATTGCAGAGCCCAGATACAATCATTTTAAACACCAAGATACAATCATTACAAGCACTAAGATACAATCATAACAAGCATACAGATACAATCATTGCAAGCACCCAGATACAATCATTGCAGAGCCCAGATACAATCATTACAAGCACCCAGATACAATCATTACAAGCACCCAGATACAATCATTGCAAGCACCAAGATACAATCATTACAAGCACCAAGATACAATCATTACAAGCACCCAGATACAATCATTACAAGCACCCAGATACAATCATTGCAAGCACCCAGATACAATCATTACAAGCACCCAGATACAATCATTGCAAGCACCCAGATACAATCATTACAAGCACCCAGATACAATCATTACAAGCACCCAGATACAATCATTGCAAGCACCCAGATACAATCATTACAAGCACCCAGATACAATCATTACAAGCACCCAGATACAATCATTGCAAGCACCCAGATACAATCATTACAAGTACCCAGATACAATCATTACAAGCACACAGATACAATCATTTTAAGCACCCAGACACAATTATTAAAAGCACACAGATACAATCATTTTAAGCACCCAGATACAATTATTAAAAGCACCCAGATACAATCATTACAAGCACTTAGATACAATCATTGAAAGCACCCAGATACAATCATTGCCAACACCCAGGTGCCAGATGAAATTTCAGGCATGGGTAAAACTAATGAAAATGCCAGTCTGCTATGAAAGAATAGATATTCTCTGTACACCTTACCTGTACAATTTGACAATGATCCATAATATCTCCTCCACCAGTAATCAGCCAGTGAGGTGGAGCAGGAATCATAGCAATATTACTAGCCCCGTCTTTCATCTCCTGACCACGCCCTCCATGAAGCCTAAAATTATTAAAGATATCATAGTAATAGTACTAGCCACACCCTTCATCTCCTGACCTCCATGAAGACTAAAATTATCAAAAATTTACCATTTCAGAATTTTTTTTGAAATATTTGATTTCATCAAGATTATAATTGATCTATTAAGTACTGGTAAACAACCCTTGATTAACAAACACATTACCAGCAAATTTATGATTCCAAAAGAAAATTGTGATTTTTCATGAGTATGCTATATTTACAACTAGCATGCAAAACCTTAACTAACAATCTTAATTCAGAAAGAAGCAAAAGTAAGCGAAATTCAAGCTAAAGTTGGTCAATTGCTTACATTAATAAGCAATCCAAAAGTTAAGTGTAAAGTAAAAAATTTAATAATAATTTAATAACTTTCACAGCTTATAGGAAATGAAGTTGCACATATACGAGGGATGATCAAAAATAAACAGGACTGTGACTGTCAATTGAAGAATTTTCAACCTATCACGTATTGTTATCACACTTAATCGGAAAACAATACCTGTTATCTGATGCTATATCTAATCTGATAACGCAAATAGCTTGTCCGTAACAGCAAATTCAAACATGGTTACGCACACCTGGTGCAGTGTGTAAATTCGCTTTGACATCAGGCGCTTTATGCTGCGTATATTTTACAATATGGCACATTTAGATTTCAAAATATGCAAAAACGTCATGAACCATATCTTTGACGTTGTCAGTAAAAATGACTTCATTTAAACCATATTTATATTTGCAATCACAATTCAAACATCACTTGTTAAAGAAGTACTTGAGTTAAAACTATGTCGTCAGAATGTCTCGAAAATTGATCAATAAGAAAAATTTGTCAAAAGTAAGACGAGAAACTGTTTAAAACGTAGAAAAGGATTATGGCTATCAAGGGAAAAGTTCCAGGAAGCCACAGCATATTTTTTGATTAGCATAAAGGATTAAGGGTAATAGAGAAATAGAAAACAAGTAAGGGAGAGACAAAAAAAAAGAAATTTTCAAATTTTCAAGGACGTTGGTGACGACAATTGCCAAGACATTGAAAAATGACATTCGATTGACTGCGGACATTGTCAACGATCATCAACAGTAGCTACGGGACGGTGCAGTCAACTCTAAGGATTCTAAAATGATAACAGTTAATGTGTTAATTACATATATTGTATTCTTGGTTTACAATTGTATAAATTGTTTTCTTATTTTACATAGTAGTCTTATGGGGAAATTGTGTCAACAATTTAACAGTCAGTTTAAAGTCTGCTATGCATTTTATTCATATTAACCTAATGACAATTTTGTTCCGAGTTGTATTATTCTTTTATTTTTACGTATGTATGATGTATTATCATTCAGAAACATTATTTTACATTATTTCGAATATATAATATAGTTTATTGCATGTGCGATGTTTCCAACAATCAAGTTAAGGAAGGAAAGAACGGAAGTTTGCGTCATTACAGGAGCTCTTTATCATCATCCATTCTATTAAAATACAATATTTACCGACTTGTACAGAGATATATATAGGCCGTGGATCCGCCGCAACAACAACACGAGTGTACAACGTATTGTCCTACTCTGTAAATGAGTAAGAAGCTGCTCCGTTTAAGACAAAACGCTTGTGACATCGTTAACGTCAATTTTAATCTTATACCCTGCACATGCTTTGCTTTACATGTACTTGCCAATAATAGCATAATTTTTTTCTTTGTTAATATTTCTTGTTGGTATTTTTTGAATCATTCAGGGGATAGTTTCCAATTTATTTTCCGTGTATTTTTATGTAATTTCACTTAACAGGTAAAGAATCATTTACATAGTCCAGTTAATTTTATATCATCCCTTGTAACTTTAATGATATAATAATATAATATAATTAATTAATTATCTATTTTGTACAAAACCCTTTGTATCTGTGTAATGTAATTGTTGAATGTTACATACTGCAACTTTTTTTGTTTAAAGTCCTCTATGCTGACAAAAGTTGGTCGTCGAGAAACCTCTCTTTCTGTTTTATAATCTATGTTACGTTGTACCATTCTTGAAAAGTCAAGAATATACTTGTGACCAAGTGTGTTAAACTGAAGTTGACCATCAGGGTTGGCTATATACGCCTGCTCCAGTTCTGTACTGGATATATTAGATGCATATCCAACATTATTCTCCTGAAATTCATGTATTAAAGATACATAAGGATCAAAATGATCGAAATTCTTCACATGAAAATTGTAAATATCACTAAGTAACTAGATGAAGCACCTGCAGAAAATCTGTTATGATTCTTTATTACAACTATAATAAAGGAAACAGAAACCTTAAAACAGCCAACTTATTAAAATTTGGGAGGAATAATTGTTATCATTTAAATAACCATGTTTTTTTTCACAAAAGCATATCACAAATGTTAATCTTTGTCATGTGCCTTCCTCAAATACAATAATTGAAATAAACATAAAAACTTAAAATTACCTCGCCATACTTTCTCCATTGTCCCAACTGATCTTTCCAATACCACACCCATACAGTAGTCAGTGGTTGACGTTCAAATTCTACTGATGATGATGTTGACAATCTACAAATATCATACTTCTTCTGGTCTATATCAGCACCAACCATTGACTTGAAGATTATTTTTACACTGTAAATATATAAAAATATATTAACTACATAGTTACAGTTCAGAATACACCCACCTTTATAACTATAAGTTCAACCAGTGGTCTGGAGCATTGTTAATTTATTTGTAAGCTCATGGTTGCAAGTTCGAATCCCCAAAAGGGTAAGATTTTAAAAAGTTATCAACAAATTAGGGCTTGTTCCCTGGAATATGTTACAAACAACCAAAATTGTTTCTGAATTAAATCAAATGGGAGACGATTTTTCAAGAGTGAAAAAACAAATCATCAGTTTTTTAATTTGCACTCAAGCAACAATTTTCAGCGGAAATGGAGGGAAAGGTCAGAACCAACTAATGCTTCAATACCATGCATAGCTTCTGTACTGATCAGGGGAGTTAACTTCTGCATGTACTGATCAGGTGAGTTAACTTCTGCATGAACTGGTCAGGGGAGTTAACTTCTGCATGAACTGGTCAGGGGAGTTAACTTCTGCATGTACTGGTTAGCGGAGTTAACTTCTGCATGTACTGGTCAGGGGAGTTAACTTCTGCATGTACTGATCAGGGGAGTTAACTTCTGTATGAACTGGTCAGGGGAGTTAACTTCTGCATGAACTGGTCAGGGAGTTAACTTCTGCATGAACTTGTCAGGGGAGTTAACTTCTAAATGTAGTGGTCAGGGGAGTTTACTTCTACATGTAATGGTCAGGGGAGTTAACTTCTGCATGAACTGGTCAGGGGAGTTAACTTCTGCATGTACTGGTCAGGGGAGTTAACTTCTGCATGTACTGGTCAGGGGAGTTAACTTCTGCATGTACTGGTCAGGGGAGTTAACTTCTGCATGAACTGGTCAGGGGAGTTAACTTCTGCATGAACTGGTCAGGGGAGTTCATTTCTGCATGTACTGGTCAGGGGAGTTCATTTCTGCATGTACTGGTCAGGGACGTTAACTTCTGCATTAACTGGTCAGGGGAGTTAACTTCTGCACGAACTTGTCAGGGGAGTTAGCGGTCAGGTGAGTTAACTTCTGCATGAACTGGTCAGGGGAGTTAACTTCTGCATGAACTGGTCAGGGGAGATCATTTCTGCATGTACTGGTCAGGGACGTAAACTTCTGCATGTACTGGTCAGGGGAGTTAACTTCTGCATGAACTGGTTAGGGGAGTTAGCTTCTGCATGAACTGGTCAGGGGAGTTAACTTCTGAATGAATTGGTCAGGGGTGTTAACTTCTGCAAGTACTGGTCAGGGGAGTTAATTTCAGCAGACGGTTTTGTCATATTCTTGACAGACAGAGGATTTACAAGTTGAAACAATTATAACGAGTACTGTACAATGTAGTAAACACTCACAAATATGTAGTTGTTTTATTTTTTAGCATTTCTATGAAACAGCATTCATGAAATTGATAACTTAATATAGATCTTTATTTTCAACAGTTTTTTCCCCGCTGTTTACTTAGAAATAGCATCAAAGTACATTTATTGTTGTTGCTATGGGAAACAATGGCATATTATATATGCGATATCAGGGACTACCTTGGACTGAAAATTTAGGGAAAAGTGACTTCTACCTTAAGGAAAAATACGGAGAAGTTTTGAAATTTAGGGAGAAGTGATCATCAAATTGAGTTATATCATTGGATTTATTTCTAATTTTATTTCACAAAATATACATGTACACCTTAATATGTACATGCATATAAAATATACATGTATATATGGCACGGAAAATAAACAAATGTGCATTTGAAAATCACTATGATGATATTTAATCAAGTACTTACTACTAGTTGCTCAATAAAATTTATTTAAGCATTTGCTTTACATCAACACTTTTTAATAAATTTTTTTTAGGTTCAACAGTTTTTGACTATAACTTTTAAATGTAATTAAATAAAAAGGAAAGTTCTTTAAATTCATAATAATTATCCAAATTCTATCAATTTACATCAGTTTTAATGATGAATATTACTATCATAAATGTAATGTTGATGGGATATTGTAAATCAAACAAGACATATAGGGAAAATTGTAAATCAAACAAGACATAAAGGGGACATTTCATAGAGATTTTAGGGCGACGAGAATTTCACTTTTCCGATCATATAGGGCGAATTGAGAATTTTTGCGGCGAAGTTTTCGCCTGACTTCGCCCTTAACGCAGTCCCTGGATATCATCAAAAAACTGAATGGTTTCTGGCTAGTAAATATGTCATTCTATCATCATAAATGATAATTTCCTTAAGCAGGGTATGTTACGGTCAATAACACACCTGTGACCTACCTTCATTACTTTAAATAACAGCATCAGGGAATGAATCTTTGGCTCAGTGGTCTACAAAATTGTGTGATTTTTTCTGATGAAATTGCATTTATCTCGTTTTGAACTAAAAATGTTCTTAAGAACATATTTATTGATCCTTTTAATTTGTTCATATTTCAAGCAAGAGTATTGACCATGTACTAATTATTCAGACTTTAATACAACAGTCCACCTCAAGTATATAACTCATTGACACTCAGATATTCTAACCTATTTCCTATATCCATGTAATATTCCTGGTTGTTAGGGTCACTATAAGTCAGCTCCATCTCCAAGTTTACATCTCTAGGCACTGTTTTCCACTCATTGTCACCTTGAATTTTATATAACCACTGATATGGAAGGTCACCATGGAAATTGCGACAGGAATCACCAAACGCACAACGTCCACGAAGGTAAAAGAAACAGATAACTTGATGTGAAGTTTGGTCAGTGGAAGTTTCCCTGCTCAAGCCTGGTCTGCCTGAAATTTAACACAAAAAAAATGTTTTCAAAACACATGTCCTTGAAAGCACAAAATTTAAGATCATGGTCATCCAGAGATTAATTAATTAACTTACAGACACGAAATACAGCCCATTTCTGGGGATTTATCTTATGTATTTCAATACTCACATCTTGCTTGAGTCAGAAACTCTGAAAACATTAATTTAATTATTGTCATTAAATTCAGGAAGGTGAGACTTATCCAGTGATTTTCTGACTAGTGATTTTCTAGGAATAAACAAGAGCACATGTTAAAGTGAATGTTTAATGCTGGAAGGTGGAGCATCTATTTAGTCTTACATTCAGAATGACAATGGCCAATGACATGCTTGACAGACCTTGCTTGGCATTTACCACTACCATCCATGAACAGTCTCAATACAAAAACCATGAATGCAACATTTTCAATCATGCTGTCTTGTGTGCTCTTCAATGTTTTTTTTTTCATTTACAAACCTGTAGCAGCTGCTGCCATTCTCTGTGCTGATAGAGGACGTGGTAGTCTCTGTGTTACCTGGGAAGAAGGTTGCCGCTGTCCTGAGGCTGGTCGTGACAATCTTTTCATTGGCTGGGGAACCCCAGGGGGAGTTTCACCATGCAACTGATACTGTTTATCTCTTGGTAAAGGTGGTTTTGGAAGTCCTGGTTAAAATTTCACAAAGTGAAAATTCTGAATTTTACAGACAATTCTTCTTTACTATAAGATTAAACCTAATTCAGTAGAAAGTAGTTTAATTTCATAATTTAAAAGAGAGGGCTTTTTCTCGTTTTCAGGTATTAAGCACTTCTACTATTATATTTCAAAAGTTCATGGAGCCTTGTAAAAGCCTGAAGAACCTATTTTGTTTTGAATTAGCCATTGTTTGCAGGGATTTCAATACTAGAATTTAACATCAAACAATACCTTTTTACTGTATCTATATCTATACACTGTAAATTTCATTTATAAGATCATTTTAGTCTAAATAGCATAACAAAGACTTAAACAAATGAATAAACCTGGTAGAAGTGCATATGCTTGTTTATTTGATTGATGGGTTGTACATCGCACCAACACAGTATATGTAGGTCATATGGTGACTTTCCAGCTTTACTGGTTGAGGAAGACCTCAGGTGCCCTTCTGCGCATTATTTGATGAGTGCTTCCCCAAGCACCTAAGTAGAACCACCAACTTTCCGTAAGCTAGCTGAATAGTTTCCTCACATTAAAGAATCCAAAGTCCCTGTTGGGATTCAAACCTACAGTGGTGAGGGGCAAGCGGTTTAAAGTTAATGACCTTAACCACTCAGCCACATCACCCCAACTTCATATGTATTCCAGTTCTAAATTCTGGTCAGAGCTTGATATTTTGACAGCAGGTTATCTGATGCCAAAGTCTTTCTACCAACATTACTACACATGAGGCACTTTGTGTGAAATAAACCTAAAATAAAAGGTAAAATGGGAAATAGCTTACCTGATGGAATATCCTGTCTTCTCTTTGCTCTTCCTTAATAAATAACACAATACATTGTATGAGAGTCAGATTAATGACAGTGTTTCAACTTCAATAAACAAAACAATCTTTTTAAATGATTCACAACTTTTTTGAAGAACAAGGACTGAGTCAAAAGACTTTTTTTTATCAGTTTTGGATAGTTCAGCTAAAGCAAAGTCAAAAGAGTGGCATAAATGTGCAAAACAATTCAGCAAAAATCCTTGATATCCCTAATAGAAATCTTATTACCCTGTTATGGCAGGGCAAAAATGTATGAAGTAAAAGGGTCTTAACTCCATCTACATAAATATAGTATTATATATATACTACTTCACAAATCCATGAAACATATTCAAATCAAAAACTTACTACTCCTAACTGGTTGATTAATGTCATCACTGTCTTCTGAATTAGAATTCCTGGGGTGATCTTCTGACTGTAGACTTAAACCCATCATTGCTGTATTCATATGATAGGATCCCACACTACTACCGTCATTCCCTGAAGATGACATTGCTTCACGTAAATCTACTAAAATTTCTTTCGGTGTCCTCTTTGTATTAATTCCATGCTTTTCAAGGATATCTTTAACATATCTGTCAAGTATATTGTGGCTTCTCCGACATTTCTGGCCAAATCTGCAGCTGCTATTAATGTAATGTTTACAAATATGCAGATTTGGGCAAAGCTTTCCTGCTGCTGTGTATCTACAACCTCCTTCAACATTATAAAATTTACAAATTTTAGGAGCAGTGACTGAAGTTCTGCTTTCTGTCTGGCTGAAAAGGTACTTCAGATCATCAGCAGATACGCCATCAAGATAATTTTCTTTCAAAATCTTCATATTATGCGATGTTGTCAGATCATGCCCAAAAGTGCACTGTCCTTCAAACTGACATTTTCCCGATAGTAAGTAAAACTTGCAGATATGCAAACCAGAACAAAAAGGAATTGTTCCAGGACAGGTTTTGTTTTTAGAGCAATGAATTTCACAAACAGAAACTTTTGTTATCTGTTTGACAAAACACTCTCCGTCATCACACCATTCAAAATTACCAGGATTTCCCAGGACTACATTGTGCAGCTCATCAACCTGTACTCCCCTAAAATATCTGAGAATTTCATGCAATGTTAAGGGCTTGCGCTCTCTGGACAAAATAATATTTACATTCTTTATGATGTGTATCTCTCGCTTGGTTTTTGGAATGATGGCATATGCACACATTTTTAAAATTGTAAGAAACACACATCTACATTAGTAAGTTCTAGGTTGTTAATATAGTGGAAAGATAAGTATCATTTTGTAGTATTTGCATTAATATGTAAAGTTAACTAACTAGCAACGGCATTCTCAGATTTTGATCTGGTAAATTGAAACCGAAAGTAGAAATAGATCTACACCATTGCTGAATTATGGCAACAGTAAGATTTCTTAAAGAAAATTCGCACAACAAATGTTTAAATATCATTGAATATCCCACTAATAATAACTGTGCAAGTTTATATGTTTGTGTCCTCCATAAATTTTAGGAAATGTAAATTGGTAATTTTCGAAAAATTACCTCGCTAGAACCTGTGCATTTTCATTCCGTACTAGCAAGTATAACACCCGTTACCAGGACGGTTTTGTTTCTGTCCCAAACAAAATCGCCCCGATGCAAATGTCGGTCCAAGACGATTCGACCCTTTATTTCTATATATATATATTTTGTATATTGTGTGCTCTTTGTTTAAGTATGAATAAAAAATCTACATAAAATATTGGATACGTTTTAAAATTCGCCCTGCTAGCCTGCCTGGAATGACAGACTATTCTCTCCCTTACCAGTTCCTGCCCCTGACGGTTCTCTCCCAAACCATTTCCTCCCCTGACGGTTCTCTCCCAAATTTGAAATAAGCAGACAGTTCTCCCCCAATCTTATTTTTATAAGTTATCATTTTAGTTTTGACTTAATCTATTAATAACATTTCTTAATGAAGATTATGTAAAGAATGTGTTTGATCTTAAGTGCATTTTATGTTTATCTGAAAAGTGTTTGTAAATTTAACACCTTTTTTAGGTATTTTAATCCTATCAACACCTTTATGTGAGAGATTAAGATAACTGGACAGTGATTGATATACACCTGCAATTATGTTAAGGTCAAGTGATATTTATTTATTTGTTAAATAGCAAATAACATGGTAACAAGTATGTTCTAGAAAATGAATAAGCAACAACTGGTATGCAATCACATTTCACAAAATCGATTAAAGGAAATGTAGACATTCACTTGAAACAATATTATAAGACCAAATAATTACTAAAAATATTTAGTCCTCAACATCTTTTCACAGCTATTTTAATCTAATCAACACCTTGATTCTTGAGTAATGAATTAATAAACACCTTAATTATCTCTGACAGCAAACTTAATGCACATGTGTATTGAACACCTTTCTTCATTATACAAAAATATGACATTTGGGTATAAAAATGCATAAATTTATCATTTTTTCTTATAAATTTTATTCTTATTTATTAAAAAAAAAAATTAATAAAATAAATACAACACAATATAGTTAATACCTAATGATTATCCCAATCAAGTAAATGATTCATTTTAATTATTTTCAATGACTAAACACATTAAAAAGTATACATTAGATCTTATTTAAAAAAATCAGAATAATTAATTATTAAGCTAAAACATTAATTTTCTTTTCTAATTTATATCAACTTACCGTAACCCATATATTAAACATCTAAATACTTCAATGATTTTTTTTTCTAATTTATATCAATAATAATTTATCAATTATTTGACATCTAAATACTTCAATTTAAAAATATTTTTTTCTAATTCATATCAATTTATATTAAACTTACCCATTATTTAACATCTAAATACTTCAATAATAATGCATTAATAAAAATAACAATGTGGAGGGACTGTCTGCTTATTTGCAAATATGCAGACGGTTCTCCCCCAAAATAGGGAGAGAACTGTCAGGGAGGAAACGTCAGGGGAGGAACTGGTAAGGGAGAGAATAGTCTGACTACCCCTGCCTGCAGGCCTGCCTACCTATATCCATTGCGTCGGACCTAGTAGCCAAAATATATTGGCGTGCCAAAGCTAGATTCTGGGGTGTTTTTCTTGGTCAGAATCTCGCTTCTAGAGGGCAGATCTATATTGCCCATACACAAAATATCACAATAAGCTGGACAAGGGACATAGACTATGCGCGTCACTAACTAGTAAGACGGATAAAAAACAGGTATAAAAGCAGAATAACAATTTTAAAAGGATAAAAACAAGGCAGCAGTTCTTTATTTTAGTTTGAGACTTTTTCACAACAAACATTTCTTGTCTTATTAAAGAACATTTATAATCCTTGCAATCTTATTTGTGCAAATCACTATAAAACAAAATCAATATCATTTCAATATAAGTTAAGTGATTTTCCAGGATATTTATTTTTTATTGAGCGAAATGACACAGATATAAATCACATAATTCACAGACAGTGAATCCATTGATTTTAACAAATTTTATTCTAGAACTAATCATTAAAAAATCAGTATTTAATCACATTGGATTAACTAAAACAGCCCAAAACCGTTTCATTTTGCAAGAAGGTCAAAATTTATGATGTGATAAAATATATAACTTGACAGTTTTAACATTACGCCTTTCATAATTGCAAAAAATCTTTAATGTTAATTTTAATCTTTTTCTCTTATCATATTCACATTTATGAATCGCATATACGAAAAATGATAAAAGTACATGTACATGTATATAAAAAGATCATAACAGAAAAAACATAAACCGTTATTTGCCATACTCATTGAAAATCTTATAGAAAATAACACATTTTAAACGGTAACATAAACAATTATTTTTAAGATTTGTGCTTCCTTGGACTTCGGGATTTTTATTTTCTGTTTTTCATTTTACCAACTTAATCAATCACAAATCAGAGTTTAAATGGAAACAATTGAAATGTCGCTGTTCATACCTTTGTAGACAAATTATATAAACAGATTAAATAGAACTTAGTAGGGAGATGTCAGATAATTATTTGTAATGCTTTCTTCCTTTTCTTTCGTTCAGTCCCTAAAAACAGCTCAGATTTCGATTTCGATGGTATAGGTGTGTAATAGATGAAAGGATCTCTGTCATTTCAGATATTCCGGATTCGACTCTAAGACTTGCCCAACGTGCTAGTACTTGCTTCGTGTTATACGTCTATGTTTACACCGAAAAGACGGCGGAACAAATACCAGGCAAAATAAAGTGATAAATGAAGTCTCTCCACATGTGTCAGTTTGACCATATCAAGACCATGCAAAATTAAGCTTGTGCTACAATTTTAACAACATTGGTAGAGGTCCACTTTATGATACTGCCTGTAAAATTACTTAGCTCGGGGTCCTAAAGTCTTTGAAGATGCTGAACGGTTTTTCAAATTGCCTTTGGCCAAGTATGATTCCTCAAAGTTTGATCAGGGAGGAGTATTTGAAACGGACAAAATACAAAAAGCAGCATACAAAAAATTCATTCTCTGACCATCTGTTACATGTGCTTTAAATGATGTAAAAACAATTGCATGTACGTAAATATATTTATTCAACAGGTTGACAACGCCAACTATCGAGGAAATGTCCAAAAGAGTACTACAAGGGACATTATTTTATTGATTAAATCCGTATTTTAATGCGCACAACACTTTAAAAATCCTGTACTCTAATCTGCACAAATTGACGCCGCCAACAACCACCGTTAACACCGTGAAATTATGATACAAAAAATGTAGATGGATAGATTTTTGTTTTATTCGAGATATCCCTATGCTTAAGTTTGCGAAACAGATATTTAATCTCAGTCGTGCACTATATCAAATGGCGGATAACTTCCGCATTTAGAAATAAAAACGAAAGTAGCAAGTATTGAAAGCACAAAACAGATCATAGTTTAAAAAGGAAATGTAAGTAACTTTTCTTTACTGTTATGAATTTATTAATCTTTTCATACTTTTATTGTATATCTAGAAAAGAAGTTAAATTCGAAGTTAAAGTACGCGGTATACTAGTATGTGTTTATTTAAGATGCATTACTTTCATAAGACAGGACAATTCTTTTCTTTACAAGCACCCAATAAAGTTATTCAATTACCGAACTGACGGCGATTTACAGTGTTCATTTTTATCTTTACCTAACAAATGTCACATATTTGCCCGGGTTGATGAACGGGCGAACGCTATGAGGAAATAATAAGCTTAACACGAAATTTGAAACTGTTTTTAATAGCATCGACTCTATAGTGTCGATCTATAGCTGAACAAAATGTAAAGCAGAAATCAGGTAGCCTAGCTCTATATGGTTTTCGAAACATAATATGTTGTCTACCACCAATATTAATACGGGTTTTACTTCTAGTATCTTCTGGAAGCGTAAGTATTAGTTTCCGTATAAAATATGTTTTTACATATGAACGTTTAATTAGTACTTGAAATAAGGAAGAGTGAAGTGCAGTGGCATTCACGATGCAAACGTATATTTTTATCTTTTGCAGTGTGATTTGAACAATGAATAGTTTATAAAGTCAGCGTAAATCAAACTTTCGACTTGTTTTATCGACCGTCTGATAAAAACACAGTTTTATCTGAATGTTTGTGTTGTCGTTACTCTGTGTATTTATTCAGCTACAGATAAAACAATAAATCATTATATAGGACATGCTACTACGTGGTTTAAGATTTAAACAAAAACAAGAAGTATCTTGAAAAAAAGATACTCGACCGAAGTAAAACTGATTTTACTTGCGTTTGTAAAGTCGGTAGGTCTTGCAGTCGAAATATCGAGACTATTTACTCCTTACCTGTTTTACAGTATTTTCAATTTGTATTGTACATGTGCTTAATTTTTACATTTATTTTTACAAAGTTAACCACTCTGCCAGAGCCACCCCTACCCCTGTTCCATGTAATTTATAACTAATAGCAAGCAGCAAAGATCGGGGACGCCACCATAAACAAAACATAATCTGATCGAATATCGTACTCAACATTTTCGCGGAATTTGTATTTACCCTAATCTATATCGTTTTAATGTAATGAATGTCATTTTAGATGAAAGCGGAAGTAGATAAGCATAACATGAATGAACCTCTTAACTTTTTAAAATGTCTTATATATTCTAACTAAAAACATAACAAAATAAATTTATTTTTAATTATATACATATGAATGAAAATGCTAAAGTTATCATGGTTTGTATTCTTGTATTGTATTATTTTTTCTTAAATAAACGGGCCTTAAACGTGGTTCAAAAAAAAAAAGCATAACAAAGTACTTATATTTTAATTGACAGTTAGATCTAAGAAGGCTTAAAAGTAGTATATGGGTCTCTTTAGCGTCACGACTGCGCATGCGCGGCGGCCATTTTGTTTTATATAAATAGTACCACATTTACATAGAAGAAATGACCTTACTACACATGCGCGGCGGCCGTGTTGAATAACAGCCGCGCGGCGGCCATTTTATCTTCTTTTTTAAGAATGACATCATCACGTTATAGAAATAGAAATAAAAAATGTTTCCCGGAAGTATACGGAGCTGACTTGTATACACGATCTTAGGGCTTGAATCGCGGACATTGAAGGTCAGGTCTTCGGCCCTAGACGGAGAGATAAATATCATCATTTATAAAAGAAATGTCAGTAAATAAATACCTGCTTAACATTTTAATTAATAAAAGAGTAGAATCAAAAGGAAAAAATACAAATAGCTTATGTTTTTTAATATGGTCAAAATAAATAATATACATTGAATAAAAATAGTACTTGTTTTCTTCTAGGTGGTCCGAAACCAAATGACACAAATCATTAGTGTATTATTTTTATATGCTCTGATCACGAGTGTAAAGTCCCCACAATGTATGGCGTGTGTTTATTTAGGGACGGAAACACTAACAATGGCCTATTGAAATGTTAAAGTTAATCCCTTTAAAGTAGCCACTCGGTCTGGCGTATGTTTATTTAGGGACGGATATGCGGACAATGCTCCATTCAACTGTCAAAGTTTATCCGTATAAAGTAAAAGCGGGTTAGCAATAAGCTATTGAAGCATAATTTTAAACATATTTTGGAAAAGAAATGCCAACATGTTTTGAAAACTGATCATCACGAATGTGCAAAATAATAAAAAAACAACTATTATTAATGGTCACTAAAACCGAACAAAAATACAATAGAAAAAGCGTTTTTCGTCTTTTGTGCAACACTTTACGATATACATTTTGATTTTTTCGCATCAAATGATAGGCCTGACAGAATGCTTTAAAATAAACCATAGGTTCTCGATTCGATTTTTAGCCGTTTTCGAGTAATGGCCAATTAGCGGTTTTTAAACCATTTTTTTAAAGTTCATAAAACTCTGAAATAAGCGGAGAATTGTCATTTTACAAGGGATGATCAAAAATTAACCGGACTTTGTAAATTATCCTTTACCTGTTAAATGAATTTACATAAAAATACACGGAAAATAAATCGGAATTTATCTCCTAAATGATACAAAAAATACCAACAAGAAATATTAACAAAGAAAAAAGTTATGCTGTTATTGAAGTGTACATGTCAAGCAATGCGGCGCACGGTATAACTTTAAAATTGACGTTAACGACGTCACAAGCGTATTGTCCTTAACAGAGCAGCTTTTTACGCATTCACGGACTAGGCCAATACGTGGTACAGTCATATTGTTGATGCGGCGGATCCACTGCCTATATATATTTCTGTACAAGTGGGTATCATATTGTATTGTAATAGAATAAATGGTGATAAAGAGCTCCTGTAATTACGCAAACTTCCGTTATTTCCTTCTGTAACTTGATTGTTGAAAAAATCGCACATGCAAATAACTATATTATGTACTACAAATAATGTAAAATAATGTTGCTGAATGATAATGTATCATACATACAAAAGAAATAACAGAATAATACAACTATGATCAAAAATTGTCATTATTTTAAAATAAATAAAAACGCATAGCCGATTTGAACAGTGACTGTTAAATTGTTGATACAATTTCTCCATAAGACTACTGCGTAAAATAAGAAAAATAATTGATACAATTGTAAACCAAGAATACAATATATGTAATTAATGCATTAACTATTATCATTTTTAAAATTCCTTAGAGTTGACTGCACCGTCCCGTAGCTACTGTCGAACATCATTGACAATGTCCGCAGTCAATCGACTGTCATTTTTCAACGTCTTTGCGATTGACGTCACCAACGTCCTTGAAAATTTCCTTTTTCTGTCTCACCCTTACTTGTTTTCTATTTCTCTATTATCCTTTTCTTAATCCTTTATGCTTATCAAAAAATATGCTGTGGCTTTCTGGAACTTTTCCCTTGATAGCCATAATCTTTTTCTACTTTTTAAACATTTCTCGTCTTACTTTTGACAAATTTTTCCTAATGATCGATTTTCGAGACATTCCGACGACATAGTTTTAACGCGAGTATTTCGTTAACATTGTGACGTTTGAATTGTGATTGTAAATATAAGTATGGTTTAAATGAAGTCATTTTTACTGACAACGTCAAAGATATGGTTCATGACGTTTTGGTGTATTTTGAAATCTAAATGTGCCATATTGTAAAATACACGCAGCATAAAGCGCCTGATGTCAAGGCGAATTTACGCACTGCGCCGGGTGTGCGTTACCATGGTTTTTGAATTCGCTGTTACGGACAAGCCATTTGCGTTATCAGATAAGATATAGCATCAGTTTACAGGTATTGTTTTCCGATTAAGTATGATATATAACAATAAGTGATAGGATGAAAATTCTTCAATTGTCAGTCACAGTCCGGTTTATTTTTGATCATCCCTCGTACGCATGAGTGATTTTGACTTCCAGTATGAACTTTACTATCAACAGCGTCTGAAAGTACTCTTGAATACCTTTAATTTGATACCAAGATGGATAAAATCGACCTATAAATAAGGACGCCACACTCGTTTGAATATTTTCAAACCATTTAGTGCAATAACGCTTTATCTAACATCGGTGGTTAAAATACACTAAGTCTATATCTGTAATATCTCAGTAACCCATAATGATAGACCCATAAACCTATACATTTTTCTGAATCTATTCATCGATATCTTTTTAACGGTATATAAATTAAAGGGTTTTGTAAACTTTGAAAATTTGGGTTTAAAAATCGCTGTTACGTAATAACTCTGTAACAGTTGAAAATCGAATCGACAATGGGGGTGTAAATTAAAGGTATTGAACTGTTCTTTCAATTGGTAGTCAACAATTTAAAATCATATCGAATTCGGTTGCTCTAGTAACCAAAATATATATTTTTTACGTATGAGTGATTTTGACTTCCAGTATGAACTTTACTATCGCCAGCGTCTGAATGTACTCGTCAAGACCTTCATTTGATACCAAACATGACTATGATTTGTTCATAAACGAAAAAGTTTCGCGCGTTTTTCCGCATGAGTGATTTTGTCTGCCATATTGAGACTCTCCTATCTCAGAAATAGTAATAGATAGATCCATATAATAATACATTTTCTGTATCTACTGGCAGAGATCTTTCAAACGGCATATAAATCTAAGGGTTTTATGAACTTTAAAAAAATGGTTTAAAAACCGCTAATTGGCCATTACTCGAAAACGGCTAAAAATCGAATCGAGAACCTAGGGTTTATTTTGAAGCATTCTGTCAGGTCTATCATTTGATGCGAAAAAATCAAAATGTATATCGTAAAGTGTTGCACAAAAGACGAAAAACGCTTTTTCTATTGTATTTTTGTTCGGTTTTAGTTACCATTAATAATAGTTTTTTTTTATTATTTTGCACATTCGTGATGATCAGTTTTCAAAACATGTTGGCATTTCTTTTCGAAATTTGTTTAAAAAAATGGTTTAAAAACCGCTAATTGGCCATTACTCG